CACACACACACACACAGTGTATATATATATATATATATATATATATATATATATATATTAGGGGTGTAATAGTATACATATTCGTATTCAAACAATAAATTTAATTTTGATGCTCTTTGATGTGCCGTGACAGATTGCTGTATAAACACATCAGTTCAAACTGCAGCGCGGAGCACGAGTCAGCGCGATCATCCCTTCCTCTTTACTGCTAGTTTTAACGCAAAATAAACATGAATGAACATCTCATGTAATCGTTCAATTGTGCAAAGACGTCAATAAAACAGCTTGTAAACAAATTGTCATGGAGCATTTCATTTACCTCAGGCAGGTCATCTGTGTCCACAGCTCGTTAGTTCCCGAGATAAATGAAGTCTAGAGAAGAGCACTTCGCGAAATATTATATTTTACTTTAGCTGTTAGTAATGTCTTAATTATTTAATGCATGTTTAAATAAATCTGTTATGAAACTAATTATGACAGCCACCGTGCAAATGAATATATTTCAACAACAAATACACTTTATAATTTAGAAGTTAATTTAAAAACTGCATTATGTGCAATTTACATGTTTGCATACATTGCATACATACAAGTTGAGTGTTGATTATTATATTTTTTTTAAATAGTAATTACATTTAAGTTTGGGCTCTGTTGTTTATTGCAACCTTATAAAAATGTAAAAGGGCTCCCTTCATGTGAATTAACCACTGATTTGCCAAAATGTAAACATTTACAAAACAAAACGTTGAAAAGGATTAGAGGGTGTACAAATGTGGTAGTGCATGATGCTCGCAACGACAGGGTCATGGGTTTAATTCCCAGGGAATGCATACACATATACAACTTTTAAGGTACATTTAGCTAAGTTGTATGAAAATGCACTGTACACTGCATTAGATTAGAAAGTGTCTGCTTTAAAAAAATGCAAATTAACATGATAATGCAGATTTTTGCCAACATTAATGCCATCAGCAGCAAGAGTCTCTCTTTGTCTGTTTCTCAGTTTTATTTTTTCAAGTAAACTTCTTTATAGAACTCAGTTTAAATGTCACTTTGCTTGTGGTTTAAAGATGAAACAGTGCTTTGGCAGCGGCGTGCCTCTGATCGGACAGTAATGCCACTCTAAGACTGCGGGGTCTGTGATGAGAGGGTTTTCCATCTGTGTTTTCATAGTTGAGGAGGATTTTACGAATGTGAATTGAGGGCAGATGGATTTGGAACTGAGCTGGATATGCTGCAGCAGTCACGAGGGGTCAGAGCCTTTTTGTTGAAGAATTTTATCCTAAATTAGTAGGAGAACAGCAGAACTAGGTTTGATGTTTGACTTCTGTGAGAATATTTGAGATCATTTGACGATGAAGTTTTGCAATTGTACTCTGTAATGTGACATTTTATGCATCAAGATGGTGAAAGGCGCAGTTGGTTGGATGTTAGGAGCTTGATGACGTCATCTGAAAAGAAAATTTATTTCAGAGGCAGAGCAAATGTTTATATCTTATTTTTTTTATTATTATTTTAATGAAAACGTACAAATTCAAACATATTTTTTCCTCTGGAATAACATGCAAAATATTGTTCACAAAGTCATTTTTTTTTAAGAAATTGCTAATTTTGTTCAGCAAGGATGCATTAAATTGATCAAAAGTCGCTATAAAAACATTTATAATATTACAAAAAATATTTTCCATATAAATGCTGTTCTTTTGAACTTTCTGTTCTTCAAAGAATCCTGGAAAAAAATTATCATTGTTTCCACAAAAAAAAAAAAAAAAAAATGAATCGGCACAGCTATTTTCAACATTGACAATAATAATAAGAATGATAATAATGAATTGAGCAGCAAATCAACATATTAGAATGATTTGTGAAGGATCATGTGACACTGAAGACTGGAGTAATGATGCTGAAAATTCAGCTTTGCATCACAAAAATAAATTACATTTTAAAATGTATTCAAATAGAAAACAGTTATTTTAAATTATAATAATATTTCATAATGTTACTGTTTTTGCTCTATTTTTGATCAAGAGACTTCTTTCAAAACATGTAAAAGCTCTTACCGACCCCAAACTTTTGAACAGTAGTGTATTAAGACTAAATTAAACAGGATCAAGTTTGATTTTATGTTGATTCCAAATTGTTTATGACCTTTGTCTGATAAAGCAACACTGTTTAAGGCATTTACATGTTCTCTCAGCTCTGTTTAGCACATTTGAAAATATTTAAATAAATTCAGCACATTTTCCCCAACAATCAGCACAGAAAATGTGCAGGGTTTCCGCGGGTCCTTAAAAAGTCTTACATTTAGTTGTATCAAATTTAAGGACATAAAAAGTGTTAAACGGCACAAGAAAATCTTAATTATGATTTCAAGAGGTCTTAAATTTGGGGATGGAAAGACATGAATTGTGATATGGCTCAATGTAACGATTAATCGTCAAAAGGCTATGATTTCATTAAATAAACATGATTGCAGCACCTTTAAGTCCAGTGCTGCCCTGTTTTGTGTACTGCTGTTACTGGTGAAACCGCTGTATTTCTGCCTTTCCGAAAGCGCCTCCTGCTGGCAGAGAATGAATTTGCATTTTCAATAAGCCCGTCTGCTGTTTTTGTTCAGACTAAAGCGAAAATCGGCCCATGTTTTTATGCTGCAAACACGCAGAGTTGTAAATGTGATCTGGTGGATCGACAAGAAGAAAATGCATTATAAAAATCTAAACAGTTAAGACAGTCAAATATATTTATATGTAATTTAATTAATATAATAATTGATTGATAATTGTTTAAATTAATATAATAATTTATACTTTTGGCCATTTTCTTAAAAACGGTTTAAAGGCTGAAATGTTGTTTATCATTTTATTAAACTTTTTGTTTTTGTGAAAACCTGTATCTGAACTGTAAATCTACAGTCATTTTACAGATTAATATGTTACCAAAGACATTGAGCTACCCCTCTCTTATGGTATTAATTTTATATTTGTCTTAAAAAAGATCTTAAAAACCCAGCAGTTAATAGCAGAAGTCAATGTTGGCCTATATAAAAATCTATTTCGAAAAAGTTCCAGCTTATTTTTCTGACCTCTGCTGACATTTCATACGTGAGTCTTCATAAACATATCACTGGGCTTTGTCAGGCAACAGGCAACAGGCCACAAAGCCACGCTTGTCATAAAGCAATCTGCGATGTATCACAATAATAGCTACATTAGATATTAACACTCATGAAGATTCATTATCCACTCTTAAAGGGTTATTATGCAATGTTAATTACAGTGTCAAAATCATATCAGCCCTTGACTTAATGAAGCACTTTCACAACCTTTCATTTAAGTGAAGAGCTGCTTTTCAGTTTTCATGCACAGCTCTCTGCTATTTCTGTTTTAGATATATGGAGTATTAATGTCGGCGGGGTTCAGCCGAGTAGATTAACCTCTAAGCAGAGTTTGGGAGTGTGTGTGGATTCAGGACGACTCGAAATGTTTCATCATTAGAGCAGATCTCTTGACCCTGATGAAATGCAGTATGTCCTGTGTCCATCGCTCCAGACTCCGGCCCACAGTGCTGTATTATACATGCTTTTAACTCCTTTCATATCAAGGAAAGCAGAGTTTTTCTTGGTCTTTTGAAATAATAATTCCATGTATTATGTAGCCATACTCTAATGTTCACAGTACAAAGCTCTCTCCCCAGACCAATTTTCTGAACTGAAACTACACAGACAAGTCAAAATCTTTATTTTCATTGAACAGAAAGAATGATATTATATATAACATCACATTCTTTCTATGCAATGAAAATAAAGATATATCTTTCTACAAACTGCATTGTTGCATTAGTAGCAGAATGACTTTTCGAGTGAGTTATTGAATTGTTCAGTCAACTGATTCATTCAAAACACCGATTTATCCAGTAACTAAACAAGTGACCGTCTTTATGATTGAGACTTTAAATCATTCAGTCAACCAATTTGTTAAAATCACTGATTGAAGTACTGAAAACTGTTGTGAAAATGCACAATAGTGAATAACTATGCTGAAACTATGAAAACTATGCTGTACTGTCTTTATGAGTATGACTTTGAATCATCAATTCAACTGATTTGTTCAAAACACTGATTAATTCATGAACAAAACAAGTGGCTTATCTTTATTACTGAGTCATTGAATCTTTCAAACAACGAATCGTCCAAAACACAGATTCCTCCAGTAACTAAATAAGTGACTATCTTAATGAATGAGTCATTGAATCTTTCAATCAACTGATCTGTTCAAAACAGCAGTTCATTCACTAATAAAACAAGTGATTCTTTTTTTGAGTGAGTCAATGAATCTTTAAATCCACTGATTTATTCAAAACACTGATTCATCCAGTAACTAAACAAGTGACTGTCTTTATGAGTGAGTGTTTAAATCATTTAGTCAGATGATTTGTTCAAAACACTGATTCATTCATGAACAAAACAAGTGACTCTCTTTATGAGTAAGTCTTTGAATCTTTCAATCAACTGATTTGATCAAAACACTGATTCATTCATAAACAAAACAAGTGACTCTCTTTATGAGTACGTCTTTGAATCTTTCAATCAACTGATTTGTTCAAAACGCTGATTCATTCTGGAACATTGAATTGTATTTATAAGTAAACCTTTGAATCATTAATTCAACTGATTCTGTTACATTTTTTTTGATTAATTCAGGAATAAAACAAGCATTGAATCTTTGACAGTTGATTTTTTTTTAACTTTAAAAAAAAAAACTTTTAAAAAGCTTTATATTGTATAAAATAGTTATGTGGATATTTACAGTATATATTTTGTTTCCCATAGGAATACGATGATGGATATGGAACAGCCTATGATGACCAGGGATATGACTCATATGACAACAACTACAACAATCAGGCACCAAAGTAAGTGTGTTGGAGGCTGAGCCATCTGAGTGTGCTGTCCGTGTAAAGGGCATCTCTCAGAGTGCATGTGAAGTTATATCTGAACGAGAGAATTCCCTTTCAGTCTCGCTGCCTCTCGTGCCTGGGCATGAAGCACGCTGAGGTGGCTTTCGTGGATGACTCATGCTCCCATTGCGGGGGTGTGACCATCTCGGAGTTGCGGACCAGACTCTGTTACCTGCAAGGAGGCGGAGTGCCCGTACCACTGCCTAGATCTGGGGTTCCCTCTGGTGGCAGCCGGGGGCGTCCATCTGCTGCCTACTTATACTCACGCTGTGATCAGCAGCAGCTGGATGCAATAATCGCATGCCAATGTGCATTGGCTCGTTTAGTTTACACTTGAAGTAGATTGGTCCCTCTAAGCGAGATCCCAATTCGTCGGTCATCCGGCGTGACGTCTCCGTTCCCTCCTTCAGGGAACGAGGGTTACATACGTAACCGAGACGTTATTCACAATGTAGGTCAGTGCTCACCTCTCTGTATTGAACCAAAGAGTTTGTGTTGGTCTTCACAGAGTTGGACTGGAGCTTTGCTGCATTGGAAATCGTTCAGGCTATTGTAGGGGGCAGCTCTGAAAGTCCAAAAGAGAGAAGTGTCTGTCTCACTAATGAATCACTCCTTTATCTTGCTTTTTTCTTTGCAAGGAAACATTTAGTGTTGTATGACAGGGTCAGTTGACACCGTGTACCAGTGAAGATCTTTATAAACACCTCGATCTTGTGAAGGACAGTTTGACTCATAATGCTCATATGCTCTTGTTTTCTAAAACAGATTATCAGAGTGCAGTAGAATAGAATTTGTGCGTCAAGTTGGACTACTAACCTTTTGGATTTTTATTATTTTTTTTTATTATTACTTTTCCACATTTATTAATGCATGTATTGCAATATAGGGATAGACGATGTTGAAGTAGGATTTTATAATTATATTTATATTTATAGTTATATTCTGAATATTAAGTTATATTTAAAGTTATTATATGCTTTTAAAATATTTTTCTTCATTTTTTTATACATTTTTTATTTAATTATCTTTTTTAATTTAAATTAAACATTTATGCATTTTGCATCAGGTGGTTTTATCGAAAGCAACTTAATTAACTTTAAATATATATTAAAAATTCTATTACAAATCTCTTATAATATATTTGAATATATTTTTGTTTGTAATGTTTTTTTGTTTTGTGTTTATTAGACGTGTTACAATATTGAGCTAGATGATGATAAAATAGGATTTTATAATAGTGATATTACATTTCATTTAAAGATATATGTTTTTAATATATTTGTCTTTATTTAATTTTTTTTTTTTTTTTGCATTTAATCAGTTTTTTTATTATTTTTTAATTTTATTTTTTTTATTATTTATTATTTTTATTTAAATACTGACATTGTAAGGATGTGAATAGTAATTTCAATTCAAAATCAGATAAATATGTTTGTTTTTATGATTTAATATGATTTAAACTCTGCATATTGAGAATTTCATCTTTCTCTTCGGTTTAGACCACCATTTTTGATATGGATCACATTTTAAACGTCACACAAACAATTTCCTCCACACAAAATTAATTTGAGCAGAAAATGGGAATTGGCTCTTGACACTTGGCTTGGAGTGTGTGAACATGATGCTGGATTTGTGATAGCGATGACATGTCACAGTAATCATCAGGTGGACCTCATCACACTCTGACCAGTACTGTTCTGTTGTCATGTAAGTCAACAGCTTCTTCCTGAACTCGAATGCTGTTTTAGGAGCTCAAATGACAGTCAAACTGATTCGCTTTTATTAATTAAGGAGGAGTATTTTGGGGAGCCTACATGTACTTCATTTTACGGCAGGTTTCTATGTTCTTTGATTCATAAAACATTGTCTGTGTGTTACTGAGCTCTGGTAGATTTCCTCATACCTCGTCCTGAAGCCTCTTTGATCTTGTAATATGTAATCCAGGGACATGTAAACCAGTTTTTCTTTTAATCATAGAATATGTGGTGATCCAGAGGTGGTTTACCCTTCATCTACTTAAATAAAACTATATTAAAGACACAGCAGGCCTGGTCTCAGATCAGTATTTCGAAGCTACTCATTTAAGATAAATCTCAGTGAATGTATAACGTCTGTGAATTTTATATAATGTATAGGTGTATTTTATGATCTATTATAATGTACTGGAGGCTGGATAATGTTCCTGCATCATTTAGTCTCACCTGACAGTGACTTTCAGCGGTCCACGTGCTTCCATGAGTCATACTCTATGTACTTATAGAGGCATTTTGATAATTGCCATCAGTTGGAAAAAAAAAAGCATTAAATAAATTCTTGATTTAAAATCAAAGCAATAGGAAGCATGTGATGAGTCTCATTGCTGCTTTTTAAATTAAATTACCATGACGTTATGCCAATGAGCATAATGCTAGCAATGCCAAGGTCATGGGTTTGATTCCCTGAGGATGCATGAATGGCTGGAATGCAATGCTAGTCACTTGTATAAAAGCTGCAAATGAATCAGGAGACTCACCTGATGTCAACACCATATTGTTTAGTTTCAATTTCAACTGTAGGTTTTCACATTGTAATGCAAACAATTGTGTGTCGTTCACCTTTGCGAACAAGAATTGTTATTATTGACTTCTGGTAGAACGATTAATTGATGATGGTGGTTGAGGCAACATTACTATTACTAATTAGTAATAACCTTCAGTATTTAACTTCAATATGTACCTCATCCAGCACCATTTGAGCTACAGACATGAATTACATCTGGAATCAAGTGATGTGCTATGCTACCTTTAGAAGCAACCTGTTTTTTTTTTTTTTTTAATTTGTCAATAAAATAAAGATATATTTTAAGAGAAAATACTATGTCAGTATATACTCTTTTTAAACTACATACCTTTTCTTTTTCTATTCCATTCCAATGTGTTACTTGCTGTTTCTTTGTAATTATTTGTGAAATTTACTAGCAATTTCTGAGTGAAAATAGTTTTTTTATCATAATATTTATTCATATTTTGAATTAGTTTTTTCTTTTTATATTTTTTTATTTTAATTTTAGTTTGTTTTAGTTATTTTGTAATGTGCTTTTGGCATTTCTGTTATTTTTTATATTCCTATTTATTTTTTATTTAATTTAATTTAAAATTTTCATCTTCAATTTTTTTTTATTCTCGTTTGTATGTTTGTTTAGATTTTCATTGAAAATATTTATTATTATTACTTCAGCTTTATTTAATTTATTTAGATTTATTTATTCTTATTATTAATATATACACTGGGGAAAATAATCACTCCTCCCCACCCCCTTTAAGAGCGCCAGGGCCGGATTTACGCATAGTCATTCTTGGCACGTGCCTATGCTCGCTCGTCCAGGGGGGGGCCAAACACAATGAAGAGATATAATATTTTGTTATACTATGGGCTATCTACAACAATAAAATAACCAAAACCTCAGAAGACATTGAGCAAATAAATATAACAAACAATAGGGTAAAAAATGACAAACTATTTCTATGTCCTCCACCTTTTTTATGTACGAAAATCGCGCTTTCTCCGGTTCTCTCTCACAGGCGCACACACACGCACTCGTGCACACACGCTGACAGAAACTTGTCGTCAACGCCGCCCCACGAATTTATCGATAAAATAGTTTCGCAGCTGAAAAGCTACATGACATTTCTCAGTAGGGAGGTTCTTGAAGCAGTTTAACTTATAGATTCACTATTAGTAGATGCTGCTGCTGAACACTGCTGAGAGACGCACAGACGCAGGTATTCACACGCACTTAATCTCTCTCTCCCTCTCTCTCTCTCTCTTTCGCTCTCTCACTCTAATAACTGCGTTAGACTGCATTAATAACTGCGTTAGCCTGCATATCAATGGCTCAAGCCTCTGTTATTAGCTCTAAAATGATGTTTTGGAATTTGGTTTGGGATGAGGTGCTTAAAAATAGTTCAACACATTTCAGGATGGAAACATGTCAAATATCTTGAAACAAGTCATCTGAACAATATCTTGATGTGTGGTTGTGACTCCTGGCCGTTAAAATGATTAGAGAAATAACTCCCGAAGTGGTACGCCGCGCCTATTAATGGAATGGTCTTTCTCAGTTCTCAAACAAATTAAGAGTTACAATCGATTTTTATTGACTGAACGCAAGTGCTTATTGCGATAGTAAACACTGTAACGTTTCCACTGATTGAGAAATATTTTTGTTTGCTTGGGTGGTAATATTAGGCCTATTATATTAATAGGGAAGGGGGGCCCAATTTTTTTTTTGCCTATGTCACGAAAAGAGGTAAATCCGGCCCTGAAGAGCGCAGAAGTGGAATGTTCACGGAGGTAAGAGGTTTATCTCATAGGTGCATTGAAAAGGTCAGAGGTCAAAAGTTATGACTTTTCATAAAAAAGCCTTTGCTGTGTGATTCTCCCAGGTGTGTCACCTTCTCATGTTGTGGTCCAGATACTCCGTGCCTGTGCGGTCGTGCTCCCTGCGGAAGTGCTCAGGGGTGCGTGAGTGTGTCTGACAGCATTTAAACTGCTTGTCACCTTCTTCAGAGTGCTATAGAGCACCATATGGCCCTCATAACACACACACACACTTAATGTCAGAGCAGCTATAGGCCTCCGCAGAGCAGTTTGTTTCAGAAAATGTCAGTGTGGTGAGTTCTGAGACCACTGCTTTTCAAAGGTTAGCACTGCTTCAGGAGACTCATCTCTTGAGATTTTAGATTTAGAGGGGAAAAGAGCAATTATATCGGCAACTGATTAGAAATTCCCTCTTAGGAGATTGATTGATTGGGAGTTTTTCCATGCCACTGTCTCCTTTGGCTTGATCTCTGAGGGCTTTGCAAAGCCACTGTTCTTTGTAAGCTGCTTTGGAACAGTATGTGCTGAACAAATAAACTGAATTGAATAATTGATGTTTGCAAACTTCTCCTTTTATTTGATTCTTTCTGTAGTAA